TCTACAAGAAAGAATTACCTTGTTTGCAAGGACAAGTAAAGGGCGAGGTGGATTCCTTGTTACAAAACATCGCATACATGTTGGAGTCACAAGGCATTGATCCGTTCTTGCATTCGGAAGTGGAACGAGAACTGACGTGTGTTCCGGTAACCAAGGTGAACTTCCCCATGGAACGTCCTAAACAGATGAATTGAATCGGAAATGGCTTACAAAGTCTTTTAACACTGATTTATGCACTGTTCGGCTTGGGGGGAAGGGAGGAATTTCGTTAGTTCCTTTTGTTGGCTCATCTTAATTACCAGGTCTCGCTTCGGTAAGTGTCGCTAACCATTATGAAGCTGCAAAAGTATTCGAGTGGGCTACTTTGGCCAAATGAGTTCTGAGGTCTTCACAGGGTGGCCCTTACTAAATTCTGGTCGGTGCTCCCATAAAGGCAAACTGCGCCCAGATTTATCCTGCAAGATATGTACTAGATTTCTTCAAAAGCTTTCATCTCGGCATCAGTGGGTTTACTAGGCAGTATTATATGGCTGCCTTTGTGAGAAAAAAAACAATGGGCACTATAAACTTTGGCACTATTTACCCTTTACTGCCCCAACCATCCAGAATTGAGCCAGTTTTGACCGACTTTTTTCTCCGTGGACAGATTTGGCTCAAATATTGTCTCTTTGGAGTACGAATATCACATTCGCTTAGCCCGAAACTTCCTGGCGCCCGCGCCACAGGCGCCGGTGATTTGAGGTGTTTAGGCGCCAGCGCCTGTAGCGCGGGCGCCATGAAACCTCACGGCGCCCGCGCTACAGGTGCTGGCGCCATGAGGTTTCGTTCTGAGCGGATGTGATATTCACATTCAGGAGGAGAACTTTCTCAGGAACCAAATTTTTAGCCAGTTTTGCCCACGTAGAAAAAAGTCGGTGAAAAATTGGCCTGTTTTTGGAAGGAAGACTGGGGCAGTAAAGGGTAAATAGTGCCTAAACCGCTTCATATACTGGAATTCAGACCAGATTCTGATCGGAACTGCTCCCAGGGGTAAATTTGGCCAGTACATTGTTTACGAGTTCAAGCCTCTAAACACGAACATCGCGA